AATATATATAAATGGGTCTTTGCACAAGTTATCTCCATGTCCGCTCCGTGTGATTTTAACAGGAAAAACAAAATGCGAAGAAACGTTCAGAAAAAAAGTCTTTATATGCTTTACAGTTCTTTGTCTCATTAACATTTTGCACTTATTTAAAGAGGCTTACTTCTGTTTCGGGGCTGACAGAGCTGTTTTCACGCTCGGCCGAGATACAGTACAATATGTATATGTATTTTTATTCATATGCATATAAATATGTCTATGTAATTTGCCTCCTGTGTTCTGTTCTTGTCGTCTTTCACTCTCAAACCTCAAGGCCACGGAGATAAACTGTTTTTAAACTTAATGAAGAAGAAAATGTTGTTTCTTCAATTCGCTGTTGATAACGGAATAAAGATCAATGTGGTGCGAATCAGAAAAACTGCTCATCCAAACAGCTTTTCATTGAAAATATGAGATTCTCTTTGTGTCTGAGTGACATCTGCATGTCTTAGCTCTCTCTATTCACACCACAGAGTTTGGGCGAGCTCGCAGCTTTATTAAAAACCTTGGCTTCTTTGTCCGCTCCGTCACTGTGGCACAAACATCGAGGCGGTGGACGTGTCACCTCTGCAGGTCTTTCTGTGCCTGTTAGTACTTTGCACTTTTAATTTTTTGTTTTGCTGCAGATGGTGGCGCGCAGACTAAACCGACGCGCCCTTGGGACGGAGATTGGGTGAAAATATGCTTCAGCCAATGTGGAATGACTCCGTTTTTTCTGCATGTAAGAAATAAATCTGATGTTTGTGGCAGATTGGGGAACAAACAGCAGGTGAATCTACAAGTTTATTTTACAAACTGTGAAGGGAACAGAGTCTGAATGTGGTTGACATTGACCTTTCAAAAATAACAATTGTAGATTAAGATACCAGAGGTTGCACCTGGAGTTCAGAGCAGAAATGAAATATTTTAAGAATCAATTTTTTTTAAATAAAATACAAGGAACTGAAAGATGATTGAACCCAGGCAGTTTTTAAAAAGGACAAAAGGACAACAGTCATTTTGTTCTTTTTAAATGATCGATATGTGACTGGGATCTTTAAAATCTTGTTCGGCAAAATTCCTGAAAAACACCTGCCTGCAAAAGTAAGGTTGTTTTCCCAAAGCAATCATTGTCTCAACATGTTGCATTGACACACTTGGACATGTAGATTCTGCATTTTGTCTTTTTGAGAAAGTCTACAGAGACAACACGTCTGCGACCAAGACTCAAATTGTGGACGTTGTGGTTATGGTGCATTGGTCTCAACCACATTGGACGACTTGTCTCGTGGCAGATGTTGGAAACGCTGATAACAAAGAACTAAACCAACATCAACCGTGCCAACATCTGCTCATGAGTCAAGTGACTGTTTCCTAAAAAAAAAAAGCTCTAAATTGAACAAAGCAAACAATAAATGAGGAAATGAAAACCTTCTCTCATGTCTTCAGCTGTACAACGATTAAACATCACATCTGGATCCTGTACATGGACATTTAGGAAACCATGACAGCAATTCCAACAGGGGCCCCAACTTTTATCAATGAATCACTCAGACACTGGGATCTGATGCATTATCAGGTCCCTGGGAACTTCTGCAAAGAACTTACTGAACAGTGTTAAATTTCCATTTCAGGAAGAACATCATCAGCTGAGAAATGTCAGATTAAACTAAAATCAATAAATGTGACAGAATAAATAACGATCACTAAATGCAAAATAATAAACAAATTGAATATGTCTGATACAAAAAATAAACTCCAATAAGAAAGTTAACACGATAAAAAGATATTTGGAAGTTCAGTATCACAATAACGAGCCCTGGTCTCCATCATGCAGGCCCGTGATGCAGCAGCAAGTGGCCTGGTCACAAGGTCCGCAGTGACCACTTGGCTGTTTGATGGTCGCCGTCATTGTCGGAAAGACAAAGGACAGTTCAGCTCAGTGCTCCGAGCCTCGTACCTGTCAGCTGAATCACAATCTGATCATTTCTAACCAAAACTTTACCAGCGACATGTCACATTCAGAATAATCTGCAGCGAGAGAACGAGTCTGTAAAAGTAGCACACTTCATGTACGCCACCACCCCCCCGACCCCCCCATGTCGGTCCAGACTTCAGCATGGGGCACTTCTTCTCCGAGCTGGGACAATTGATCCGCAGGGTGCCAATTACAGTGATTGGCACCTTTATTTGAGCGAGGAAGAGGCGAGAGGGCCGGCAGAAAGGAGACCAGATGGGTGGGCTGTATTTTAAAGGTGGGGAGGGGGGGAGGGACAGGCGGAGCGGCCCCCCAGCACAGGAACTAACCGTGGCGGTAAACAGCTTCACTGACCGGCTACACACAACTCCACTAATTGGGTTTTTATTGCTGTTTTCAACCTGTAGTCTCTCATCAGCTGCCTTATTATGTACGTTAATGTTATTATAGAAATAATCATCGTTATTATTAGAAAAAGAGCGTCCACTCCTAATTAATTAATTACAATCAATATCCTGGTCAGTCAGAGCACAGCAGGTCAACTGAACATACACGAGGACACAACTCCACATTTATATAGAATCAACTCACCGGTGATGAACAATAACAGAGATTTAACAGAGAAATAATCAAAACACATGACTGATGACACAGCTCTTTACTTTAATGGAAATTATGACGAAACAAACCTGTGAAATATATCATATTAATAGTCACCTATAGAGGAGAATATACTATAATATGCACTGCCTTTGTGATGACTAAAACCTATTTATATTCTGCTGTATGATCTATTTATGTTACAACAAAAAAAACATATTGTGATTATTTCTATTTGTATTTGGAGGCTGGAGCCACACGTGTTTAACAGCTTTGCGTTTAAAATGACGTATTTATTAACCACTAAACCACTACAGTTTATCGCTGTAAATATAAAATACAGTTTTCAGTGCAGTCTCCACATAGAAGGACAGAAAGCCGAGCGAGGGGTTGAATAAATGAAAGAAAAACATAAAGGATGCATGAAATGTTCTGCCATGTGTATCTGATGCGTTCCACTGGCCCCGTGTTTAAAGTCTTGTGTGTAAAGCGAGCACCGGATCAATTCCAGATCAGCACTCAGGAGCTGTTTGTTGTGCGTCAACAAATGAGCTCTCAGCTCCATGTTGGCTCTGTTTTCCTTCAACCGCCGCCGTATGTGTTTGTGTGTGTTTCTGGAGGGTCCACAGACCTTTAGGAATGCGTCACTGTCCTGTGGCCCCCCCCTCTCCTCCCACGCTCTCCTTCCTCCCTCCCTTCCTCCCTCCCTCCCTCCCTCCCATAAAGCTGCTCAGCGGCCCATCAGGGGGGCCCCTCCACTAATTAGGGTCACTAATTGGGGGTCGGCCGGGGCAGAGACCCCTCCACACCTGCACGGTCATGTGACATTCAAAGAGGTGCGCAGGGTCAAGGGTCGTGGGGGGATAGGGGGAGGAGGAGGAGGGGGGCAGCGGGGGGATTAGTTTGGCCGAGCAGACAAGGAAAGGGGTTGCAGGAGGAAATCGGCAGGCGCAAGACGACAGAAAGGGTAAAACTGGACTTTTTATGATGAAGCCTGAAATGTGAAGTGTAGATTTTACTGTACTTCAAGCAGCATGAATGACGAAGTCCACCATTTGAAGGTGTCCATCATCTTAAACCAAAACCTTTTCAAAAATCAAAAGTGTACCCGCCTTTAACTTTAAAACAAAAGTGTAGGAAAGGATCCACACACAGATGTAGAGGAAGTACGAGAAGACACGCCAAGAAATGAGGGGCGGGGCCCTGCTGCCCGGTCAGGGGTTAATTGCCAGGTGACCTTAAGGGCCGGACAGCTCAGCGGAGGCCCCAAGCCTGCCCGCCTCTCTCAGCATCTCCCCGCTTCTCTCAGCTCTCCTGGACTAAGTGATGTCTGCTTGTTT